CAGACTCTCCGCCAGCTCGGTGAATAGGTTCCCCGTGCGACATATCACGGCTTTTGTATTTCTTGGGAGGTGGAACTGTTCCTGGACCGAAACTCGGGCCATTTTTGGAGCACTTACTTACTTTTTTTTCTTCTTCTTTCGAATCCCCTCACCACTCTGCGATCGCACACACGTCGTCCGACTGCGACCTCCGACTCCGAGCTTCAAAACCAACCTGATGTCCTTCCGAATACCTCGATAACACCCCGCTCATTTCCCTCCACACATTACCACATACTATGGAGAATCTATCGATATCGGACTCCGGACCGCGAGGCGCTGGACCTCCGCAACAGCAGCAGCAGCAGCTAGGTCCCCAGATGGCGGGGCCGCAGCAGTTGCCGCCTCAGATGTTTACCACCGCGGCGCAGCTGCTGGATCTCACAGATAGTAAGGGTTGCCTCTAGCTAGTAGAATAAGAGAGCGCGGGGGACGGGGCGCTCTCTTATTCTACGAACATACACCCCGAAAGAAAGGGGGAGCGTGGGGGCGTGGGGCGTGGCTTGGTTGAAGCCGCGCGGTATATATGAGGAGCAAAGTCGTTGACAAGCTTTATTTTTTTCTACATGCAGAGAAGCTCATGGTTGCGCTACGCGACGGACGGAAATTCATCGGTGTCTTAAGAAGTTGGGACCAATTCGGTGAGTTTAAGACCCCCCCCCCCCCTAGGCAAGGAGAAAGTAGAGAACAAGAGATCCGTCCCCGGGTTGTGATACTCGGGGATGTATGAAAACAAAAACAAAAAAGTCAGTGTCGAGACTGACGGTTCCCCACCCCCCTACCCCCCAAAATAGCCAACCTCGTCCTTCAAGCCACCATTGAGAGGATATTCGTCCCTCCCCCGAACCCCTCCACTCCCGGCCTCTACGCTGACATCCCCCGCGGCACCTTCCTCGTCCGTGGAGAGAACGTGCTGCTGCTGGGCGAGATCGACCTCGACAGGGACGACGAGCCGCCGGCCGGGTACGAGCTCGCCGACTCGGCGAGGGTGGAGAAGCTCGCGAAGGAGAGGAGGGAGGCGGAGAGCGCGAGGGGAAAGGTCAGGATCGAGAGGCTGAACGCCATTGGGTTTGAGGGGGAGAATGTAGGCGATGTCCTACTCTAAAGGGGGAGGTTTGGTTGGCGGGAGGTTGAGAGTGTGGGCGAAAGACTGGGAATTGGGGTTTGCGAAAGGGCGTCGTCGGCTGGATTTGGAACTGTGACGACGGTCGGTGGGGATCGTGGTGGAATGGGCAGAATATTGTGAAATGCCCCGAGATGTCTACGAGGCAGGAATGAGTTGGATGGATCCAGCCGGATTAGTTCCACATTGGGCCTTGAAATAGTGGTTGCTGCATGCAGCATATAGATGCCATCGCAGGACACAGAACTCAAAATGAGATTTTCAAGTGAGTGCTTAGTGATGCTGGCTTGTATCATGGTTAGCCATCGTCCTCTGCCCCCTCGCCCCAATGAGCATCCGGCAAGCGGCTACAAGCAGGCTCCATCACTTCATTCAGGTGGACATTAAACTCAGAAACATGCGGTCTATTACTCTTATGCACAGCTGGCCCACCCTCGCCCGCTATCAGCATCCACATCACCGATCTGACCAGACAAAAGAGAGTAGAGAGGACAAGACGAAGAGGTGGATCTTGCCATTCAGACTATAATAGATACAACCCCCCTTTCACGCTGCTCCGACACCGCCATATACACAGGTACACAAAAGTTAACACTTTTTACAAGGAGTCCGTGAGGAGCTTGTTCATCTTGTTGATGCGGCTCGACACGCTGAGGTCAATCGTCCGGTCGCCAATCTCGACGACGAGTCCGCCGACGATGTCGGGGTTGACCTGGGTCGGGGGGCGTTAGTACCCGAGGAGGGGGTTATACTAATCGGCGGGCCGGGAGAAGGTGTGACTTGAACATACCTCGTTGGTGACCTTGAGCTTCTTGCCGGCACCGACGTACTCCGACTTGGAGACGGCGGTCTCCAGCCTGGTGAGAGTCTTGTTGTCCAATGGCTAGAGGAAGAAGAAATAGAGTCAGCGAAATGCTCTCCCGCTCGAAAAGAAAAAGAGACAACCCAATCCACCAGCACGTAGCAGATTTCCTCCTCAAAAACAAGAATAAGCGCGATGGGCCCCGTAGGCCCTGTGTTTCTCTTTCCTGACATACCTGGGCGCTGGTGACAACCATCTCAATCTGACCCCTCGCCGCCGCCATCAGGACGTCGAACTTCTGGCACACGCTCCCGAGGAGGCCGAGCCTGTTGTTCTCCGCGAGCGCCGAGAGGAAGTTGCGGACCGTCTCGTTGGAGGTGCTGCCGGCCTGCTTGGCGAGCTCCGCGACGACGGCGCTCTTGTCCTCGGCCGAGAGGGTCGGCGCGGAGAGGACGGTCTGCAGCTTGGGGTCGCGGGCGAAGATGGCGGAGAGCGTGGAGATGGCCTTGGCGGTGGGCTCGAGGGTCGAGGTCTTCACGGCGGCGGTGTACTGTATTTGAGATAATTTCCATCCCGGTTAGTTTTCCTTTTTTTTTTGGTCCTTGCGTGTTTTTCGTCGCTACTCTGCCTCCCTCTCCCACCTCGGGGTCCCGCCAATTGGGTACGATCGGGTCCCTCGGGTCATCGAGGCAGAGAGCAACGGGAGATGGGGGGATAAAACGCACGAGAGCAGTGGCGTAGGTGCCGTCGGTGCCAAATACCGCAGCGGGGGCCTGAACATCCTTGGGAGCCGCGGCCGCGGCAGCGTAGGTCCTGACGGGAGCCCGGGTCGCCGCCCGGACGGATCGGAAGAGCGCCTGTCTCGCGAGCATGGCTGCGGTGAATTCGAGTAGGGTGGTGGGGGGGTTCGGATCGCGGACGAAGGGGTGAGTTGAGGGTGAGGTGTGGGCGTTTCAATTGGATTGACGTTGTTGCGAAAGCTCGTCTTCCGGTTTGTGTTCGGGAAACGGAGGTGCTCGGCAGAAATTGATGATGCCTTGTGTCTCAGGCCACACACAACACACATCTGGCGACGACCCTTGGTTACGTAATCTACTCGGACCGTTCCGCCGATTTCGCCTTGGGAGATTCTAGAGGCAGTTAAATGTTTGAGAGTATTCGCATAGCGCATATTACAGCATAAACTTGGTTCTGACATATCGTAATATCGTACACTCAATGATCTCTTTCTTTGCGAAAACGTATTTCTCAACCGCCACTTCCTCTCTCGAGTTTCTAAGCCGTACTTGTATGCCATACCCGTCCCACGCGGGCGAGCTGAACAACTACACTAAGAAGAGTGGTGCCGATACTCCCCTCCTCCTCTCATAATCCATCTGGCAGAGAGAGATGCTCAAAAGAAAACAAAGCATAAAAAAAAAGACATGCCCCTAACGCCATGCAGACGACCCCACTCCCCTCCCCCCCAACGTTCTAAACGAAGAACACCACCCTCCTCAGTCGCTCTTCAGCATGCTATCCACCAAGTCCCCCAACGGTCCCCAAAAGTCCTTCCCGCTCGCGAGGTTGTGCTCGTCGATGAACAGCACGTACTGCTTGAAGCTGGTATTTAGGTGCGGCTCGAGGCCGAGCTCGCGGATGACGGGGTAGTGGTGGCAGTAGATGTGTGCGTAGACGCGGTACATGCGCTTGAAAATCTGGCGGACGAGGCTCGGGAAGGACTTCGGGAAGGGAACGCCTGCGTTCACCGAGTGGTTAGTACAGGAGGCGGCGCCAGAGTGGGGGGCTGTAATAGAAGCAGCCGGGGAGGGGCCATCGTACCTATCCGGCTCGGGAGGACCTGCTCGTTGTCTATGTTGCCCTGCACCCACCCCATCATCTGCTCGATGTACGCCGGGGCAGACATCTTGGTCGGCCGCTTGTAGTTCTCGCTGTCCTGCCAGAGGTACTCGAACTCGTCCGTCGCCTTCATCTCGGGGCACGACTGCGGCGAGCAGAATTCCGTAATGGCGCCATAGAGGAGGTTAATCTGGTTGTAGAAATCCACCACTTTGTGACGGGCTTCGTTAGCATTGTGTCCCCAGGGGGTTCTAAGGGGGTGGTCTGGGGTAGGCGGTGACGGAGCATCGTACTGTTCACAGCTAGCCACTCATTCTCATCCTCGCCCTCTGGCAACTTGACGACCTTGCGTAGGCTCCCGCCTCCAAGGGTGGCCTCGGCATACTGTCGGAGCTGCTGGCTTGTCGCACCGCCCCTCCCCGGGGCGCGGGACCTGAACTGGTTTCGGGTCCGCTGGTTACTAGAGGTCGAGAGGTGCTGTTAGCACTCCTCCGAACGGATATGGTGTCGGACGCCGCGATGTCCAGCCGCAGCGGTGTCACTCGGTGGAAAACGCTGGGAGGGGAAGGCCCCAGCCGTTCTCGACGAGGTCGTCGAGAGTGAAGCTCGCGCAGCTTGGGTCGGGGAGGTAGACTAACACGGTGGTGATAAATGCGCTCATTGTTACGAATCGGGGATCGGGAGTCGGTAATCGTTTTCTTGCTCTCGATCTGTTGTATTGACAGGGGGGTTAGTGGGGTCCGATGGGGGAGATGGGAAGAGCCGCCCGGAGAGCGAGGGTCAACAAACAGAGAAGAGCTTCGACTATCCAGCTGTCAGGCTGGGAGGCTAACACCAAGGGGTGCTCGGCGAAAAGATATATCTCGAGTTAATTTGAGGTATCGACTGCGCGGGGTAGAAATGCATGCATAAAATAGCGGAGTGGAATTCAAGAAGGTGCATGTGGATGTGGATGTGACCTGAGGTTGTGTTTACCAACTGCTCGAAATGGCATGGACATGGTTGCCAGGCGGCACCCAGCTGTGAGGTCCCAGGTACCGTCCCCTTGTAACCCCACTATCAAAGGCAGATGTACCGGTGGGTACCGCGGGGCCACATCTGCGCGACTAAGGTCTATCGGACAGGGGAGCGATAAGCTATGGATGAGCCCATGCTCCATAAATGCAGATTAGAAGCGATTCCAGACATGTTAAGCTCGGGAGTTTGGCCGAGTGGTTAAGGCGTTGCGTTTAGGTCTAACCTAGATACCGAATCCGCAATGGACATTGTCCGCGCAAGTTCGATCCTTGCAGCTCTCAGCATACATACTTTTTACAATCTGCAAATCTGATATCTTTTTTTTGGCCCTCCCGTACGACCCTGTAGCAGTTAGCTCTATCTGTCCCTTGGTAAACCTCCGTGGAAATGGCCTCGTCTGACCTTTGGACGAGGGGGGTGTTGAAGCCGAGAGAGCTCTGATTTGAAGCAAGCTGCCAGCAATTCAGAATTATGGTGCACTTGTAGGACAGCTCGGTGTGGGGGCGGGTACATAGTGGTACCTCAGCGCCAGCCCGATGGGGCGCTGGGTCTGGCCCAGAATGGAAAATTACAATTCCCTGACGCACATGCCTTTCTTAACCAACCAAGCTCCCTCCACCCACCCACAAACACACCACCAACTGCAAAGCTTGTCCTGCTTCTCGTCCGGACAACGCCATTGCTACCCTCAAAATGACTTTCGACGACGACGACGAGAACGCCGTCCTCCGGCCTGCGACCCACGCCAACCCCGAAGAAGAAGAAGAAGAAGACGACCTCGCCCCGGACTACCGCCAGCTCGCCTCCCTCATCAACAAGAAGGGACGCTCGAGTCAAGATGTTCGCAAGGGCGAGAAGGACTTCGAGTCCCACGGCACCCGCGCCCAGGAGAACGCCCTAGAGTCGAGCCGCCTCGTGATGGAGGAGGTCCTCTCATTCGAGAGGTTCCTAACGGAAGACAACTGGGTGCGGGCGTGGTACTTCCCAGATTGGTGGGTCAGCCCGGAGGGCAGGGCGATCTGCGAGGGGAACGAGAGGATTGATGCGGAAGAGATGCTCTTGAGGGATCGTGTCGCGGTCGTGGAGCACGAGAAGGGATTCCCGGCTAGACTGCTCGGGAAGGTCGTGCCTGGCGTGAAGAGAAGCATGCCGGCGATGGGGCGGACGTGGCTGTTGCCGGAAGAGGCGCTGTACCTTGTTGAGAGGGGGACGATGGAGCTTTGGTGGCCTGACAAGCGGGTCGAGGACCTGTTTCCCCCGCTGGAGGGGGCGGACGGGGCGCCTCCGACAGAGTCGATGCTCTCCCCTATCCAGGACGACGAATTCGCGATAGGCGTGCCGCTGAGCGTGCAGGGTGCTTACGCCATGCTTATCGGGGAGCCTGGGGAGAGGGGCAAGATCCCGTTGGCGAGGTTTCAGGTATATACAACACTAAAGCGCGCCGGTTACCACGTTATGCCCGCACCCAAATCAACCCCAACCCCCGCTGCGGCCGCCGAGCCTCGACTGGGGACACTATGGCGGTGGTTCGCGTCACTCATACCCTCGAGGGGCCCGCCTCCGTCTGGGCCTCTCGTCCGCCCCGGCCTCTACCGCTCCTACAACGATGTATTCAGGCAGCTAGCTGTTATACCACGACACAAGCCGTCCGAGAGATCCACCGCCACGGCGGATCCGGAGGATCCCTTCAGAGTACACTACCACGTCTGGAGGGCCGAGGGGCCTTTCCGCAAGGGCAATCCGCCCGCTCCCGACTTCCGGATCTGCGTCGTGGACACGCGCGACACGACGTTCCCCTCCCTGGAGCAGATCGAGGCTCTCCTGGAGTCTACGCCCTATGACCCGCCCCCGCCTCCCCTGAACGCCAGCGCGGCGCGGACTCCGGGCCAGCTGCACAAGCGGTTGAAGCACGGGTACCGGAATGTTCTCGTGGCGGTCGTGGACCACGGCATCATTAGCTTCAACAGGTTCTGCGACGCGGGCTTCGGCGAAGAGGTACTGTTCGAGTCGTTCGACGAGAGGCTGAACGCGCCGACGGGAGGGAAGAGGGGCGGGTTTAAGGGCGGTAGGGGTGGGAGGGGAGGCCGGGGTAGGGGCCGAGGTAGGGGCAGGGGCGGCGGGGGCGGCGGTAGGGGGAAATAAAACGGGGAGTAGGGGGAGTTGAATCATGTACAGGTATTAAAAGCATATCGGGCTTGGCTTGATGTTGATGACAGGTCGGGGACGGGATACCCAGGCGTTGTATTTGAGTTCATTGTTACGATTTTGCGGTTATAGACGAATAGACCATCATAGAGCTCATGCCTCCTAGTCCCAGGGAGATGTACTCGGCTCTGGGGCATTACAGAACAGCTCCAGGTCCTGGACGACATGGCTGTTGCGATGGTGGTTGGTTTGCATGGCATGCCCGTCACGTGTGCAGAGGGGTTTCTAGTTGCGGCTGCTACCTCCAGGGGCACATCTCCAGGCGTCCAGAGGAAGCAACCCCCACCTATCCCGTGTGTTGGGCGCATCTAGGACCAGTGGCCGTTCCCCTCCCGTATGACGTACTTGCAGGAGGAGCGGAATGGCGCAGCAGGATGAATTGGGGGGTATTGTGTAACGTGTTGGGCGGATGAGGATATGGCGAGGGAGCCATTCGCATTCGGTACGCTTAACAGCCTACTTTGGATGTTGTTGTGAGAGCTGCATGCATTACAAGTAGTATGCACGCACATAAGCGCCGATCAGAACAGGCAGCGGATTCGTGAACCTCTCAGCCTGTCAGGGGCTTGGACTGCGTCTTTGGACTCTTACATAGCCACACGTTGTGGCGTTGTTTGAAGTTCCAGAGTATGGCGTACAAGTACGTATGACAAGGATCACTCTGCGGCTGACTTGCTGAACATGTGTGTCATGTTGGGAGAAACCCATTGGCTGATACTTGATACTTTGGGGGGGAATCTTGCAAGGTATGGGTATTAATACTTTATACTTGTATTAGCTAAGGGCGCATGTAATCTTAGAACGCGGATGGTTTTGTACCCGATTGTGCCATTTGCGGAATATATTCCTCCTCTCGAGAATGCTGCACTTGTATGACCAAGTACTCATATACAGTATTACTTAACCTGTTAGGTTCCAAAACGACAAGGCGGTCGGAAGGAGTTCGGTTCTTACGGTCATTATGTCGAGATATCCCTGAGCTCTGAAAGTGGAATGCCTCGGACGACAGTAATACTTGCTTGGATGGATCGGGTCGGGTTGGAAGGATCGATTACATTAGATTGGGGCAGTAAGCGCGGATGTTCCGCATGAAACTGTGGCCAACATGTACTACTTGTATGAGGAGCTGTGTTCAGGATTCCAAATCTGCCGGCTCGCAGGACGGACAACTGGCTGGATCTAGGTAATAATACTTGCTTGTACTTGTATTGCGGTATTACAATATTTGTACAAGTATAGTGCCCCCCCACCCGCCGCTCATGCTGAAGTTCCACTGAGCCGAGTCACTACTTGTACATGTATTGCAGATAGAGAGCCAAGAACAGAGAGAGTGGAAAATTTAACCTTGTTCCAGCTGAGCTCGAGAACTCCCTCACCTTGCATTTTTAGCCTAACCCATTTCCCATCTCCCCCATGTCATGTCCCATTGGACTTTAGCCCCTTCGTGGACGGTTCCACCACCAGCTTTGAAACAGCTCCCCAACATTATTACGAGCACAAGATTCCCAAGACCAAGCAAGCACAGACTCAAGCTCGGCTCTGTCATCTCTCCAGCTCTGAGGACAAGGACAAGTACTGGAACGCGGAACTAATCACAACAGTGTGGGCCCAACCTTAAACGTTGAGCAAATAATAATAACTCCCGTCCGTCTTGTCTTTCGATCTACGAGCAGTAGAAGTAGATTGGAAAGTCTGGGGGCCAGAGTCGAGACGTGTTCGTTCCCTGATGCCGCCACGCGATCCGTCGATCAACTCGCTGAACCATTCAACCACTCCTTGTTCCTCGCTTCTCTTTCCATCCCCATCCTCATACTTGCCTCGGAACACGCCATATCCAGAGAGCAAGCCACCTCCATCTCAATTTTAGCGACCTATTTGCGTCATAGCAATACTACCCTACAACAAACGCAACTCGTCTCGTAACCAGCGACAGAAGTCGAGGAGGTATCCACCATATATCTACCTACTACCAACTTCCTACTACTGTATCTACCTTCCCAACTTACGGCCTGCTCGTACTTGTTTGTATTGGGTAAGACTTCGCAGCTTCCATCTCGTCTTTGTGTCCTGCCGCCTGAGCAGCTGAAGCTGGGGTCGCGCCTTCCTTCTTTTTATTCCCATCTTTTGTGTCCGATTTGTCAACTTGCGACCGTCGCGGGAATCCAGTTAACTGCTACTTTCCCTTGCCCTCCACCTTTCAACCCCCTTCGCATTGCTTTTGCCCAACCTAGCGCCAACTGGTCCTTCCAAGTCCGTAACACTGGAGCTTTTTATCACCGTCGAGATTGAGACCATCTCCTCACCTTGGCCTTGACTCGAGCCGGCCCCAGTTCCAGTTCCAGTTCCAATAATCCCCCTGATTTATCACCCTCTGCCGGAGGCACTTTATTGACTCGGAGGACTGGTCAGTGCCCATCTCTTGCCCATCCATCTCTTGTCTCTCATCTCCCACTTCACATTTCTGCCATCCGATTCTGGTCTTCACACAACCCCCGTCTGTACCAACACCCACATTTCACATTTGCCATTTTCTTCCTACATCTTACAAATTTCCCATCACACGTTCTCTCCTTTCTGAAACTCCTTCCTTTTCTTTTTAGGGGGGTTGTCCAAGAAACTTGTCATCTGTGTCCACAACAAACCTCGACGCGTGTGATCCACCACCAACCCACCACACAGTCAACCAACAACTAACCCATCCCAGTCCACACGAGTTTGAGATTTTTTACCCTTGCGCCATTCAAAGTACAGACACGGCCAGACAACTTGCATTTCGGGAGCGTAAGTTTGATGAAATTTCGTCCGCCCACATGCCAGGTTGATGACATTGACACCGACTTTTCATAATCTTGAGCCGCTCCACCTCAACGGAATTAAGATGGATACATGTACTGACGGTCGTTGACCAGATCTCGCGTTAACTTCACCATGGGTGAAATCAACGACAGCCGCCCCGGTAGTTCGTCTGCTGCCGTACCCCCAGAGCAGCCCGCTATCACGGAAAAGACCACCCCCGTACGGGAGCGGAGCCAAGCTGCAGCCGCCACGTGAGTTTCCCGTCTTTCATGCCGCCGTC